AACTCTTACCTCTGTGTGTTCTTGTTATTCGACTTCGTTTACAGCAAAAGTGGTGAAGGAGATACTCTGAACTATGAGATATACCCTTCTTAATCATGGTAAAACAAGGACTTAAGCAAAACAGTATCTAAGTTCATTAAGCATTTGTAAATTAGGAAATGGTACCAACAGGCTAAAAATTAACTCTTGGTTCAGAAGTTTATGACAGGTTTTAAGTTGATCTATCAAATAATAATCCAAGCTAGGGAAAAAAAAAAATCAAGTCACAAATGGCAATGAGACACGTGCACTGTTTCCTTCTACTTCATTTTAGGCCATTTTTTCAAGGATACGAGAATCTGACAGTGATCTAAGTGCTAAGTGCCAAGTATTTAGGGCCCTTACTCTGCTAATTTATGGCACTTTGAAAAAAACAGAGAATGAAAAAAAATAATACCACACCAGACCAAAACAGAATTTCCCCCCCCCCCCCCCAAGGGAAAAAGGTTTTATTTAATTGTTCTAACTAAATAAATTGTTTGGACCTACTCTCTGTGGTTTTTCAGTCACTTATACTAGTGGTTTTCAAACCGTGTTCCACAAAACCTCGGGGTTCCACAATAGGTAACTAGGGGTTCTTGCAAAGAGGTTGGGAATAATGGCAGAGCAGGCTGGGAGGTGGTGCACTGCCATTACTGGGTAAGGTCTCCTGGCTCCACGGCAGCTCACATGGCCCACAGAGCTAGCGGTAGGGGTTCTGTAGCAGAAGAAGTGATACAAAAGGGTACCATGGCAGGACATTTGATTTACACCAATGCAAAGTATATGTAAAACAATCCCAGACTGGAATGGTAACTGTCATATCTTTAGCCCTTCACACACAAAAAAGATGATGCAGAGTAACTGTATGGGAATAGGCATATCCCAAATAACTTGTTCATGAAACACAAAACCTACTTACATACATATATACCATTGCTCTTGGCTTACTTCTGGACCCTTCTAAAACAGAATGAGCATCATAAGTTATTTAAAAGGATGCTAACCAATTCCTGTGTACTACAGCAGCATATTACATCCACTTAGTTATCATTCACTCACTTGTGGTATAAATGACTACACAAACTACAGGGCAAATAAGAATCAGGCCATTGCCTTCAATGCATTTGTTGTTACAGAGGGCCAAGCTGAAGAAAGCTTGACATTGCTATTGTTTCAGGTATTTGTATCCGTCTAAAAGTGGTCCTTGTTATGGAGACTTAATACCTCAAAAGGTACTGGGAGATGAGAATTTCCAGTTAGGGAACCAATCCTGTATTTCTTGTTCCAGTAAAACTGCCATTGCCCAAGTAATCACTTGCACCTTCAGCCTCTATGCAGACTGGTAAGTGACTGAAAGATATTTCCTTCTGATGACTATTTAAAAACAAATATGGTGGCCTCAGTCCAGCTCACAGAATGGCCATTCACATGACCAAATCTGATATCAACGCACTGTACTCTCATTTTCACCAAAAAAAGAGGAGCTGTAGGCACCTTCTTTGTCTAGGTGCTCACTTTGTTTAACGTAACTCATACAATCTGACAAACTGGGGTTTAGTAAATGAAACAAATGATCCTGAAATGTCTGCTTGAATAGATTTCTTTAACAATAGGCTGATACTGATCCTTGGGCATTCATATAGATATGCTGATTCTGACCTCACTTATCCCGTTAACTTGGTTTAACCCCAGAGTTACTCTTGAATTAAAGTGGTGTCATTGAGATGAAAACTGGAGTTCAATGATTTGCTAATTAGTCACTATAGGATAACATAGTGTTAAGGAAGAATGATGATTTTCATGGATTCACTACTAGGAACTCCTTTTATTTCATAATCTATACCTTGGAATAAGGTTTAGAGTCCACAGTGTATGAGATTTATAATTTTATAGCTATAATTCCATTTATTGGGTATCATAAACATTACAAACTTTGCTTAGCAGCCTGTTTAGATGCAGCCAGCTTTATCTAATAAAACAGTCTCTGATAGTAGCTTATTAACTACTGTAAAGGCTAACTTATGAGGAAAGATTAAACAACTCAGCATAAATAGTTTGGTTAAATGCAGATTTAATGTGTTCAGGGGAACAGTTGTCTCCAAGTGTTTAAACAAAGGGGGATGCATTATTTAATGCCTCAAACTCCTGGAAGATTGATTCAGGCTCAACATAAGGAAAAAAACTACTTCACTACTAGGGTGTCCAGACTGTGGAATAAGCTCCCTCCAGAGGCGGTGCAATCACCTACCCTGGAAATCTTCAAGAGGAGACTAGACAGTCACCTTGCTGGGGTCATTTGACCCCAGTTGTCTTTCCTGCTTGGTGCAAGGGGATGGACCAGTGATCCTCTGAGGTCCCTTCCAGCCTTACAATCTATGAATTTACAGAAAAAAGTTACTATAATAAAGGGATAAGAAAAGGAAAAGGACTTAATATTTTTGTCTGCCTTGTGCATTTAGAATGCACACCAGCGACAACAGTCTCTGCTTATGCAGCACCTCCCCTGCATGGACTGATCTCAGGAATCAAGTGCTAATGTAATCAAGGTATAAAATGAGAGGCTCTTCCACAACTTAGTGGAAGCTAAACAGAATAGTGGAGGAAGCCACTTTGCTTGAGAGAGTTTAATATTTTGACTGAACAGAAGCCTAGGAAACAGGCTACTGGAAACAATCCTTCATCATATGCAGGGAAATCATCTGCAGACACATCTATCAGATGCAAGATTTGAGCTCCAGTTGCTGTCCCGTCTACAAATCCAGAAGATACTGTAATGCCATCAGCACCAGGATGCTTTGCTAGGAGTCCAGAGGCTGTTCTAGTCCTGTCACATCCTTCACCTGCTGAAGTAACTCAAGAAAGCCAAGCCAGCCTGCTGCCCTCCAATCCCTGAATCAGGTTGTGTGAGGCAAGTCATTGTCCAGCTGAAGTACTTAAAGGACTATATTATTGGGTGGAAAGAGAGGAAGCAGTGGGATGTTATTCATATATAATAAAAGTGTTTGGTATATATGTTACGCCCTTCTGTTTGGACTTGGGGCTATTCTGTATTGTGCTCCTCTCCTTTTTCTGCCTGCCGTTATTGCTTGAGAAGTGTTTGAAATATTCTGGAAAAAATTTGAAACTTGTGCCTAAACTTTCAGATCCTTTAAATACATGTAGAGGCATAAGGGGAGATCCACAGTAAGTTTTGCTGAGCCTGGGAATGTAGCTGCAAAAGTAGTCCCCCATGCAATAAACTAAATCTACTCTAACCATATTTTAGAAGAACATGGCAAATGCCACAGTACTTTGTGTCAAATCAAATCCATGTGGAAGCTGTACAAACATGTACTGGATCAAGCCCCGATGGCAAACAGGTGGAGGAAACACCATTTTGTGGCTCCTGGCAGGGATTAGGTGCAAGATAATGCTCAGCAGCGTAGCACCTGTGATGTCAAAAAATGGAAATAGCAAACTTCAGGTACCTCTAAGGCTAATTAGCAGCTGAAAGGGAATTTTGAAGATAGTGGTTTGGCATTAGGCAATTAGGTCCTCCTGAAGCTTGCTTTTATGCCCAAAGGTCATGCCTCAGAAATCTCCCAGCTTTCTGCAAAGGTATAATAGAGCAAGTGGGTGGGACTGGTTTTGCAGCTACATTCCCAGGCTCAGCAAATCTTACTGTGGATCTTCCCCTTATACCTCTACATGTATTTAACGGATCTGAAAGTTTAGGCACAAGTTTAATTTTTTTTTCTGAATATTTCAAAGAATCCAAGGAGATAAACTCATTTCACATCCTTTTACTTATTACATTGCAGGAGGACTTGAGTTTCAAAGTGAGATAAAACACCTGCCTTTTGCTAAAAGACCCAGTAAGGTCTGTGAGCCTGAAGACAGTGTCATAGAAGAAACCTCATGAATATAAGAACTGTCATTTACTCAATCAGAACACAGGTCTGTCTTTCCCAGCATCCCATGTCACACAGTAGCAGAGTGTGGATGCTCAGAGGAAGAGTGCACTGGGTCTGAGCAGGGTTTTCCACCCCCACGGTTCCTCTCTCATTTGCAGGCTCCAGCATATAAGGTTTAGGAAATCCTAATTCAGAGGCTAGGACTCTATTATTCAGTTTATGATCGAAACAAAAACAACTATAACTTAATTGGAATGAGTTAAAAACAGTCAGCACAGCTGTGAAATAGAAACTACATTACCAGGAGCAACTAAGACAGCAAAATTGCAGAACAAAGGATAGCTTGAATGGTGGGACATTGAGACCATTTAAAGAGAGAACAGGACATTAACACCTGTGGAAAAGTTTAGGAGGAATTGGGTATATTATAATGTGTCCCTCTTTACTGCCTGACTAGAAATGGTGCTGCCAAAGCCAGGTAGCTGGTTTTAAACTTTGGGTGGACCAGGAATCAAAAGTGCACCCCTCCTGGATCTATTCCTGGAAGCTCTCACTGGAATTGTGTCTATTGTACACATCTGTATCTTCCCTCTTAAAGTTAAAGATTGAACCAGTTAAATATCAGTCATGTCCATATTTTAATCTATATTAAATACTATATATATAGATTACAAATACAGACGCACATGAAAGGACGTTGCAATCAAAATGCCACACAAATCATGTGACGTCATGCCACTTCCTGAGGAAAGCAAAAACCTCTCAATTCCTCCACTCCACCCCCATTTCCCTTCATTGGAATCAAGAGACCTACTTGCACATAATGCCCTTTATTAACAGGGCTGTGTAAAATGCTATTGAATATTCCAACTGAACGCAGCTCCTCTGGTTACTTCAGCTACTGTTTCACCCTTCACAATGTAGCCCTGACTGCACTGCTGCAGACCTCATTTGCCATTTCTTTGCATGAATGCAATGCAATGCAATATCTTTTGTTCTCCTGCATTCAAAAAAGGGCATATTCCATTATATGGGTGGAGGTTCTTATCTAAATCCACAGTGGACGGTGAAATTAAAAAGACTTACCATAGTGAAGTCTGGAAGATAAAGCAATTCTTTCCCACTTCTCTGCTTACATGGAAACTATGCTACAGCTGTCCTGATTTTGGTTAGCAGCAAAAATATCTGGGTGATTGACAAATCTTATTAACCCTTCAGTGTATTGTGCAGCTGCTGCCCTTTTATCAGAATACAAACAAGTTTAACTTAACTGTAACAGCTCGTGTACTCCAGGTCAATAAACAAAGTTACAGAGAAGGTTATAACATAAAAAACCCAGGGTACCTTTTCACTACCCTTTCCCATTTCCCTCAGTCCTCACATGAACTCTTTTGATGCTGTTGTTTCCTTTGCATAGCTTTTAAAATCACAATTCCACCTCTCCTCCCCAAAAAATACCTCACAGATATTGATCAGATATTTACAAACATTTTAATTTAGGGCATGATTGCTGTCCTAAAGACAACACTGCCTAATAGAGTGTGCCTGTTGTCTCCCCCAGTACATGTTTATTATATGCAGGAGTACAAGCTAGTTTATAAAAGTCAGTCTTGGTATCTTCCTGCTGCACAAGATCTGTATATCTCTAAAAAACTGTTGCTCACTGCTGAGGTATGTGAGAAATGAGTAATGAAAATGCTGCTGGAGACAAACTGTGTTCCCAATTCCTGCCTGAATCCAGATTGGTACGTTGTATGACAAGTGGAACAACACGTGAAATCTTAGAACAGAAGTACTCATTAACACTCGCACAAAGTGTCCCATGCCGCTTAAGTTCCAGCTTTGTCTTCCTTGTTTGTCATGGGCCATGTATACAGCTCAGAGACGCCCAGAGCAAGATTTACAAGAAAGACTCCGTTATGTATTTAATTCACAAATTTGATTTCCAAAACATCTCCCTAGCCCTGGAGGAACCTAAACCCCAATTTTCCATTACCAAAAAGTCTTTTTGGTGCCAAAATGCTGGGCACACACACAACTGCCCCAGACTTGGCAGCCCAAAAACATCAGCAGCACCTATCTCAGTGAAGCTCCAACAGGATACACCCTCCTTTCTTGTATGCTGGGCCAGATCTAGTAAGTACACTCTAAAACCACCTCACCTCATCAGGGAGAGGTGCTAGTGCCCTACTTTAACCTAATCTTCCTCTGCTAGAGGAACCTGAATCCATATCCCAGGAGTGCCATAACCCACCAGGCTACACAGTATTCTGGGCTGAAGCTCTCTCTCTCATTGCTTCACTCATTCCTATGTATACTTATTCATGCATTCATTTAAGAGACAAGGACACACACACAAAAGTTAGACAGTCCTGCAAAGGTTAAGGTGTTACCAAGTTTCAAAGTTGCTCAAGGTCAGTCTGGTGGCGGGCCAGGCTGACCAAGAGAGTTGGAGTCAGGTCTTGTTGGATGTGCCCAAAACTCCTTCTTGCAGATGGAAGAGACCCAAAGCCTCGTCTTTGTGTTTATTCTTTATAGTAATAGCTGTCCATCCCAGCCTATGGCTTCTGCTGAGTCAGACACAAAGGCCATCTTCCCTGTCCTGTTGGCAGGCTGGGATTGGTAGGTCATGATCTTCCGGCTTAGAGGTCTGCAATCTTTAGTGGCTGTCACTTGCAGTCTTCAGCCATCAGGATGGAGCATAATTTAGCATTTGGTAATCCTTCACTGCTGACTGGATGTCCGCTGCAGCCCTTAACCGTTAAACCACAGGAAGCTATTTTCACCTGCTGCAAGAGGCCTGTCTTCCTCTGTCGCTGGCATGTATGTCCATCATTCATTCTTTTGTTACCTCTTTCCACATAAACCAGAAATATCCACACCCACCAGGTATACCACAGACCCTTACACAAGCGTTTTCCTTATACTAAATTTAAATTCTAAAAAAAGTCATGAGACCAATAGGTCAAATGTGTCTAAAATCATGAGACCAATATGTCCAATATATTTCTGCTAAGCAATAAGAAATGTAAAATAGATAGTTAATTTTAAAACAGTAATAATGACTGATCAAGTTATAGTAAAAAGTAAATCATAACAAGATAAACTTTATCCTATATCTTTTCCTTATATAAAAAGAAAAAAAAAACAAAATAAACAGTCAAAGCAATAATAGCCAATAACAAGATAAGCAATCAAAGCAATTATAGTCACTGCAATACTACAGGCATGACTTTCTCTTGCTGCATCCTGATTGGTGGATGGGCTCCACCAATCAAAACAGCAGGATCTCAAGCCTGGGACTCAACCCAAGCTCTGAAAGGTGAGCCTGCTATATACGAAAAGGATTTTTGACACTCTACAGGTTCCCACACCTCGTGGAAATCACTTGCTGCTTTGATTTTACCGTATGCAACTTTAAACATTTAAATACTCAAATCTGTGAAATAGTGATAATCTAGTCTGCTCAGTACATCATCTGTCAATATACTGCAATCTACCTGGAGTATTATTCTACAAAAGAAATATGTAATTCTATATGCTTGATAGAATTACACCTGGCATAGAGAATTTTTAGTTTCTTTTGAGCTGTGACGGGTTTTCAACATTTTTTTTTGGACAGGGTATCCCCGGTGGCTGGGTTGCCCCACACAGCCAGTCAACAAGTGGGGGTGGGGGCAGGAGTCCCCCACATGGTGCACAGCAGCAAAACTGGAAGTGCCGGTGGCTTTTCTACACCACTGTTGCGTACCCCCTGGGACCTTCCAAAGTACCCCTGGGGGTATGTATACCCCAGCTTGAAAGCCCCTGAACTATGAAATCGATGGCAATCAATTGCACTTTCCTTCAGGTTAATATTGTTTTTGTGCATGTTCCATGTCAACTGGCTGTGTGCATATAAAGAGGTACTTTTACTTAATACAGCAACTCCTCGCTTAACATTATAGTTACATTCCTGTAAAATGTGATTTTAAGCTAAACGATGTTAAGTGAATCCAATTACTTCACAGTAGTTACCTACTAGCAGGTGGTGGCCAAATAACGTTATAACCGAACATTGCACTTCTTTAAACAAGTATGTTCTCTAATACATCAGCAATGTAATAACAAAACAATGTTAACTGGGACAACGTTAAGTGAGGAGTACCTGTATAGCCATTCCCCAAGTTTTTCCACCATTAAACCCCTCAGATCTGTTGATTTTAAGATTTTCATTGCTTTTTACTCCAGCCAGTCCTGAAGAAACAACATGGTAGTGAGGGAGAGGACCTCTAACTCTGTTATTTTACCTAATTTTGTACATAGTTCTTGTACAGTTATACTTTTCCACAATATTTGAGACCACTGCAAAGAAGCACTCTCTTGTCCACCTGTTCTTGCTCTGCAAATGCCAAACCCAAAAGTGAATATGGCAGAAGCAGTCCAGAGCACTGGTTTTCATTTGTGGACCCCTAGAAAGTTTTGAATGGAAGTGTGGACCCCTTTGGAAATGTCAAATGGAGGTGCAGATCTTTGAGTTTTAAGTGTGGGTATTCACATACTTTTGGTTGATCATAGTCTAGAGAGCAGGTCATACGATGAGAGGCTGAAACACTTGGGACTATTCAGCCTGGAGACAAGAAGACTCAGAGGGGACTTGGTGGCAGCCCATAAGTATATTAGGGGTGTACATCAGGGCCTGAGGGAGCATCTGTTCACCAAGGCCCCCCAGGGGAAGACAAGAAACAATGGGCACAAACTAATTGAAGATTGCTTCAGACTGGACATAAGAAAAAATATCTTTATAAGTTGAGTGCCAAAGGTCTGGAACAGGCTCCTCCTAGAGGTGGTACAGGCACCCACCCTGGAGATCTTCAAAAAGTGTCTTGTTGCCCACCTTACTGGGGTCATCTGACCCCAGCAGTCTTTCCTGCCCAAGTGCAGGGGGGCAGGACCCGATGATCTTGTAAGGTCCCATCCAGCCCCTGACATCTATGAATCATCATTCACAGACTCCTTAGACAGTCTGCAGACCACAGGCTGAAAACCACTGGTCTAAAGGATTCTCTCTCTCTCTTTTTTTTTTTTTTCTTCCTTTCAGGTTTGTTAGTTTATAACAACTTTGAATTTCAAAAATAACTTAGTAAATCTAAGTATGCATGTCTTTTTGTCTCAGACCAACATGGCTACCAAGTACACTCCTGAAACATGGAATATGCCGAATTTTAGCCGATTTTGGATTTTAAACTTCATTGCAAAGCAACAAGGAAGTTTTTTTTGCCTCCCTCCTTCCCATCTGACACCTCCAGGGAAGGCATTCTACCTGATCAACACATCAAAGAGCTACTCAGCACAGCTCACAAAGACACTCATGGACCCAGAGGGACAGACTTCCACCTTCAGCTCCCTCTGTGCAAAAATGAAGTTTATTTCCTACCTATGGGGACTTTTTACCATCTTGTACCATCTACACTTTTCCCAGAGCCTACGAAGGGACTTTACTCCCGAAAGCTTGCAGAAAAGGACAATTTTCTTGCCATTTTCCAGTTGGTCTAATAAAAGGTATCATTTTGGAACCAAGAGTTCTAGTTTTTTGTATGTCTTAGTAAATCTAAGGCACTAAGGGCACTTTTACACATGCTCTAGGGGTAGGGGGTGTGCTGCTTTAATTAGAGATGCTCCAAGCACCGCCACATCTCCTATATCAGCGTTCAATTTAAGCACGGGGACATTGATACACAAGACGCAGGAGGCTGCTGGAGCCCGGCAATTGCCACACTCCAGCAGACTCAACCGATCTGCTGGAATTCCAGCACGACAGTGCAGCCTCCACACTCATGTATAGGCATCGTAAAAGGAAAGGTGATGCCATACCAAACAGGTGAAAGGCTCTTTTGGAGATTCATTAGAATTCATCTTTTAGGATTAGTATTAGGATTCATATTTTAGGTAAAAGTTGACTGACAAATCTGGAATTATGAATTCCTGTCCCGCTTTTCAAAAAAAGTGAAATGTGTTCTGAAGATAGTTATCACAGTTGAAATCACTGTTTTCATGTGGCTTTCCCAACACTGTCTATTTTCCTGGGAAATAACCAGAAGAATAATACTTAACACAAACTTCAGGCTACACAACAACTCTGTATGAGGCTGTATAGTG